TTTCTTGGGCTCGTTGGAAAGAGGAGTCTTTGCTTTTTAAGATCATGTACTTTTCAGTTTATCAAAAATAATTTTGACCTATACAGAGACATTGGAATTCGAAAAATGACCAATAAATTGACACTCGCTATAATTTTTACTGCAACATGAAGGACAAAAATTGTAGCGGAATGTAACTTCTAGTGTTTGAAAGAGAAATCTCTGGCCTTCAAAATGAGCCCAGGAACGTTGCTCTAGGATTTTGTTTCGCGAAGTTACAGAATTTTGAATATCGAAGGATTTGCGGCTGGGATTTTGTAACCCCCTCGGTCAGATTATCGAGTGCCTGATTTCACACTGTACATTCAAGGTGCCTTAAGTGGTAAGAAAAAGTCGGAAGCTTATGTTTTTGGACACGTTGGAAAGGGGAGACTTCATTCTTTAACACTGCTTCGGCTTTAATCGAAAATAAAATTTGTTTCGCCTTTCAGAAAAGTCTGAATTTGAGAAAACGAAAATGACGATTCTTGAGTTTTCTCTTTGTGCTCTGCTTCAAACACTTTTTCGATAGAAATAACCAAGAGGATCTGAAATCACAGACTTCGCTCATTAAAACGAGCCTAGGTATACCTCGCTGCGATTTCTTTCCGCGATGATACAGCAGATCAAATATCGACAACTTTTTACGCATGACTTGCCGATCATTATTTTAATGCTGACTGCACACTTTCCATTCAAACTGCAATCAATCGAGAAGAAAAAATCGTAGAACTATTCTTTTGGTGTCGTTGGAAAGTGGAGACTACACTCTTGAAATCCTTGAAGCTTCAATCGCGTGAAAATGATTCTTACTTCGCTACAGACATTTTATTTCGGAAAACTACCAAACATTGATCTTTTCTATTTTTTCGCTCAGATATCGCAGTCAAAATTTGTCACAATTAAATCCGCTACGGAGTTCTACAGCAGAGATTCGGCTCTTTAAAACAAGCCCAGATAGACCGTCCTCCGATATTTTTTCACGAAGTTACAATATTTCGAAAATCGATCATTTCTCAAGAGGTGGTGATCATGGAGCTATTCACACAAACACTAGTAGCACATTTTTCATTCAGAATGCCACAAATCGACAAGAAAAAATCATAGTTCGATTTTTTCAGATTCGTTCGAAAGGGAAGGTTCTATTCTTGATGAACGCTTTGATTTTAATCGGGAAGAAAATTTGTTCAACCTTCCAGAAAAATCTGAATTCGAGGAATCAAAAAATTGCAATTTTTTTGCTTTCCTGTTTGCGTCCTACTGCACAAATTTATTCGCAAGAAGTAACCTAGGGCATTTAAAAACGCGGACTTTGCCCTTTAAAATGAGCCTAGGTGGATCTTCCTGCGATTTTTTTCGATCAACGCTGCAAAACGGAACAAGAATTAACAGACGGTATCATTGAGTCCAAAGGAGTCATCGGTCCCAAATAGCAGTGTCCGAACCAGTTACCACAAGCCAACTTTATTCCACAGTATTAGTTTCGCAGTTGCAACTGCAAATTGCCATCCGTCGGTCCGTGTTATCGTTCCGTTACGTTCATACATTAATAACCGTATTGCCCGTAAGCAGCAGGCCGAGTAACATCTTCGGATTCGGTTGAATAATTCGCCACGAAAAGCTTGACGTGTCCGAAGGGAAATGCGATTCAGTTCGGAACTCGGGCCTAAGTTAGATCCCGTTTAATTTACATGGTGTTAGTCGGAAGAAAAATCTACTGCAGTCTCCACAGCTTCGGAAAGTTGCAAAATCATTTTAAAAAATGGACGTATTCAGGTTTTTCCGTCCTGTCGAAACAAAAAATTTTTTTTTACAAAAATGCTATCAAAGGTGTCAAAGAGCAGACTTCGTCCTTTACAATAAGCTAATATTGATTGCCGTGCAATTTTTTGTCACAAAGTTACGGTACTTTGAATATCGTAGAATTGTTACCGTATGAGTCAATTTTTCAAATGGCTAGTGTCGTACTGCCATATTCAAACTGTCATAAAATCGCAGAAAAAAATCGTGGAACAATGATTCTTAGCTCGTTGAAAAGAAGAGACTTCGCTCTTTGAAAGTATAGAAGTCTTGTCATCCAAGAAAATTCTTTGTGCTCTCCACAGATCCCTGAATCTCAAAAGTGTCAAAAGAATGGATGCTGTTATTAAAATTGCGGTTGTTAACAACTCAGCTATGATAATGGAAAAAAGCTTAGGTGTCTGGAAAGCATATTTCTCACTCTTTAAAATGAGTATAGGATCATCGTTCTACGTTTATTCTCAACGAAGTTACAGACCTTTGAATATCGGCAAAGTGGTGTTTTCGAAAACTTGATTTTCGCTGCTCTCGCACACTGTCACCTTACAATTATTCATACATTAATAACGAACTTCGAAGCTGCTTCGAAATTATTTACACGGTCGCTGAAAATTCCATGCTGATTCCCAGGAGACGAAACAGAAGGATTCCAACGTCTGCGGGGACACGAATTTTAATTAGCCCCGCCCACCGTGTTACTATTCCCGGGATCCTAATTGAATTCGAACACAAAGCCTGTCTTGAGGCGATTCGTTTCGCATCGATGAAAGGTCAATGGTAATCATAAACCTATTGTTCCCGGTGACTCTCTCCGTGGGAGGAGAGATACTACGATTTTCTAACCCTTAACTTCTCCCCGTCAATTATGATTTTTCTCGCAAAGAAGTCGAAATAGTCGGAATGTACCAGCGTTCTCGGACGTATCCGCAAACATGGTCGAGTGTGTACCCGCGTTGTAAACGGCGCGATTTAAATAACGTCGTTACGTCCGCGTGTTTGCCCGCCCGCGCAGCCGGTTACCAGCATCAACAGAAAAGCTGCGGGTAATTTTTAATTTTAATAATTAGCGTCCAAACAGCTTAATTCGCTGCTCTGGCCAGCCGAAATTAAATCATTGCGTCACCGTAAAACTGCATTACAGTTGTTTGTACATGGTTAAATTTACACGATCTATCCCGACTCACGATGGAGAAATTTTATTTCGAGTAATTTTCGTCTGATTCTTATAATTGCAGCACCAATGGATAGCCGAGATTCTTCCGATTAAAATGAGTCCAAACACGACGTAAATCGGACTACCTTCGTCGAAGTGCTTACTATTATACAAGGTGGGTCATGTAACTCGTGCACCTGGGATAACTTTAAATTAACCGTTCTTAAAAACTTGAAAACCTCTTTGCAAATAACTTCTACTCGCCTTTGAAACCGTCTATTTCACCTTTTTTTTAATGGAAAGCATAATTGAAAAGTTATCGGAGGTATGCAAGTTACTCGACTCACCCTGTAGATAGCTTATTAATTAAACTAATCCGATTCATACCGTGTTTGGGCTCATTTGAATCGGAAAAATCTCAGCTATCCATTGGTGCTACAATTACAAAGGTAAGACAATAATTACTGAACGACGAACAACGAATGATGGGAAGAAATGATTTTAAAGACCATTTCGGACCACCGCGCGACGTTACCAATAGAGCAACCTGTTCAGCCGATCTTTCCAGCGATCGCAGCCATATTGATCACCGGCGGGGCGGCGTTGCCGCGTCTGCAAACAAGCAGCGATAATTCTTATCTGCAGAATGCATTTCATCCGGCGAGCACCGTATCCCTGTCACGAGATTAAGTCGGAGCCTTAACTGATTCCCCGTCGGAAACATCTGGCCCCGCCTTATTGCGTCGGGGGATCGATCGATCAAGGCCACTTTCCTCTCGTTGCAACCTCGAGCCTCGAGGATCCTTGTCACTGGAATATTTTTTTTCGAACCGGCGGCCAGGCGACGGTCAGAGATTGGAAATTAATTGGAGGAGCTCGTGGCTGGACCGCGCGTGTCCATTGCGCCGCGACCCGTCGGAAAATTCTGATTACAGGGCCGGAATTTCCCATGGGCTGGCTCGGCCGCCGCTCGGGGGAACGTTCGCGCGTATTTGTTCCCGGGGAAATTTCTTAACAAAGACCACTCTGCTTCGATTTTCGATCGTCCCGAGGCGGCGGGCTGTTTTCTGTCGCTCCGCTGATCCCCAAAGACTCTTTAGCCGCCGTGCAGCCACTGTAAGACTTTACAAAGTGCCTGGAACGAAATTCCTGCTGGCTCGAGAACAAATTTAGGCCTTCTCTGCCGCCGTTGAACGGTATAACCCAGCAAGATGGCCAAAAACTGCCTCTCGAACGAGACCGTTCGAGGAGAAAGCTCTCAGCCAAGTGTCAAGTCGCTGCCCTCGCCACGAGGGTCGGCAACAGATTACGCTCTATTTCTCCCGTTCTGCTGGATCAAAAATTATGAAAAAATTCAAGAACGTTCCTCCCATCGGGGCACAGTGCCCGGAATTTTTTCAGAATTTTCACGTACAAGATCGATTTCTTAAAAAATCCGGAAACTCCGGTACAACGTCAACGTGTCCGAGAGTTATCGGCGCTCCAGATTTTTATTACTCTTTTTTTTTACAGTAGCGTATTATTGTTCACGCGTACTTTGATCGCATTTTCGAAATGTTTAATCAAAAAATATCTGCCGAAGGGGAGCGCCATCGGGAGAAATCGTTCGCCGAAATCGTTTTGCACTGGCATCCTTGCGCACAAAGACGTTTCTAGTGGTCTAAACGAAAATCAATTTGATCGAGGGTCACGTTCGACCGTCTCGTTCAGCTGTACCCTGCGGCCTAGATCATACCTCGTTTCAATTTCCATTGAGTTATGCCCGAGCTAAGCCGCGTCGGGCCGTTTCGTGCCGGATCCATTGATCTCGGCCGTGTTTCGTGTAACCGAAGGGATTGTTTCGCAAAAATTCATCGGGAACGATAAAGCCCATCGGTGTAGATGAATATTGGCAAGCTGTCAGTACTGTTGAACGGTTATTATCAACGCGGTCCCCGTGCCGAAAGCGATCGGCGCCGACGTGACGGATCAGCGAAAATGTTTGTACGAGACCGTTTCATGGAAACCCGTTTAAATCGGCCTGTTACAGAGGACGAGCACGAACCTATGGGGCGAGTGGATGGGCGTGATGCACGGGGACGAGGTGGAATACGTGTTCGGCCATCCCCTGAACACCTCCTTGACCTACAGCGACAAGGAACGAGAGCTGTCCCTGAGGATGATCATGTCCTTCTCGAAATTTGCCTACACCGGGTAAGTTTCCCGCAAACTCAATTTTCAACAAAAAAACTCCGAAAGGTTCTCTTATTTCCCGATTGACCCTCTGTCTGCGGTATCCGGCACGCTTTGACACAGCGTATTTAAAAATCGTCACTTAATTAGTGAAGTTTCGGCAAGTTATAAATGAGTGTTAGAAAGGACAGAAAGTCTAATAAGTTCACATGAAGTGTTTATAAAAATATGTTTGGAAAAAGTATTTAAAAAGTATTACATTTCTCTTATATTTTTCTATATAATAGCAACATTAGATAAATAATAATAGAGATCGAATGCCGTTTTTCTGATAATTTTAAATGTTGTCTTATATTTTTCAAGATAATATAATGTAGTTCTTACATATAATAATAACATTAGCTACAAGAAACGCGTATTAAATAGTAATAAAGATTAAAAGTCTTTTCCCTTATAATTTTAAATTTTGTTTTATAACTTTTCAAGATGATTAATATATTAGCTATAAGAAACGAGTATTAAATAATTATAAAGATTGAAAGCCTTTCTTCTTACAATTTCAAATTTTATCTTATATTTTTCAAGATAATAAAACATAGTTCTATAATGATAACATTTGTTACAAGAAACGCGTGTTAAATAACAATAAAAATTAAAAACCTTATGATATTAAATTTTGCCTTATATTTGTCAGTATAATATAACAAAGTTCTTCCATAATAATAATAATATTTCGAAATGCAATTGAACTCGATAAAGCTTAGAAAAATAAAAACAAAAAATTCATCAAATTCACAAACTTTGTGTCCCGGAAGACGATCGGGGGCGACTGTCAAAAATAGCCAACCGGCTGGAAGCGCGTGGCGAAGTGGGGGGAAGACGTCCGTCCACGGGGATAGTACGGAAAAATTGCTGCGGATTGTCGGGCGTCGATTTCGCCGCGGGTTATTTAAAAGCCGGTTCCTCTCGCGGTCGCCTAAAATTGCATTTCATATTCACGTCCGTCCTCGTTCGAGATGTAACTCGGTTGAACGGGGAGCTTCCTCGAGAACAGCTCTGGCCGCGAGGAAGCCGGGGCCGAGCGCGGCGAGCGGGGAGAGCGAGCAACAAATTTGACTTGCATGGGGAGGGAGCGCGCGGCTCGGAGCGGCCCCGTGCGCGCCGGCAGCCATTACTCCGTCCCCTGCCCACCTCGTCACTTCCCGCCAAGATATTAAACCATTTACATTGCTCCGCCGGTTAATTACACGCTCATTCCACGGCCCCGCAGTGAACAACGCTATCTCCGATGATTTCAACGCGTTGCATATTAATTCGAGCCTGTTATCCCCGATTAAAGTCGACCGTCTCGACGGTCGGCCATCTTGAATAGCCGCGCAGGCGGTCGGTTCAGCGGCCCGCGGAAATTCCGCGATTTCGTCGTTAAATGGGTGCGAAACGGGGCACGCGTTCGCGCGTTCGGAAATAGAGGCGGCGCGCGTTCCGTACGAGACCGCCATAAATAATTCCGCGGGAACCGCTGCCGAATCACGCCGCCAGTCAGCCGAGAAGTCGGACAGCCGTGTTAATTCGAGAAAGTGGCGCAGCGTATTTGACGACAACAATTAAATATGAACGACACACGTGCCCCCGCCCGCGCGCGCGGCTTTTCAATCTGGGTTAACGGGAATTATTCAACGGCGCCGATACGAACGGACCCGACGCCACGGCAACGCCGGTCATTTGTCGGTCGCGGTCCTGTCTTCTCGGCGCGTTCCTGCGCCCCCGTCCTTCGAACATCGATCGAACACTCTTCCGGCATTTTCCTCTTTTCTTCTCTTTAACGACCGTTCAATGTTAATCATCCTGACCTTCGACCTTACCCGTCGACGACGAGGCCGTCGTTCGGGAATGACCGGCGTCCGCCGGTAATCCTTCGCGAGCGTCGAAATCGTTTTTCCGCGACGCGACGGAGGAAAAAGAAAGGGGGACGGGGATCGACGATGATTAATCGGCGGACGGAAAATTGCCGGTGAAATATTTAAACGGCCGAACCGGCTACTCCCAATAATTAATAAACGGCCGGGGGAGGGGGGGGAGACAGGACGTGGAGAGCGGCGCGCGGAGTTTGTTAGCACGTTGTTAATAATTTTAAACGAGCCTAGTTAACCGTCCGCCGTGTCCCCGGTCGCGTTACGCGGATTAATTATCGGCTAACAAATCGGTTGCTCGCGCCGCTCCGCGCGGCGGATTCAATTAAAGTCCGGCCGGCGCTCTATCAATCATTATCATTATTCGACTACATAATCGCGCGACAATTTTTCTCTCCCCGAAAGCACACCGATCGGCGGCAACGGGAAAAACGTCAACGTCCCAACGACGTCCCCGCGCGGGAGTTTCGCCCTCGCTTTCCTTTTTTTTATGCTTCTCCGGCGACGTTTACGGCGGCGCGATAAATAAAACTGCCGTCTACATCTGGCGCCTCTGCGATTATGTTCCAGCAAACCGACGACCGAGGAGTCCGAGTGGCCGCCGTATTCGAGGGATCAGCCGCAGTATTTTATTTTCGACGCGGAGAAGAACGGGCTGAGCAAAGGACCGCGTACCACGTCCTGCGCGTTCTGGAACGAGTTCCTGCCCAGGCTGAAGGGCGTGCTAGGTAGCTACTAATTCGTTCCGGAATTCCTGCGACGGTGCACTTGTTAGCGGGGATTCGCCGGGAAACCGGGACGGCTGTCCTCGTGCAACAATTTAATATTGTCCCGCGCCCCGTCTCCAAGAAAATTGAAATGCCTTCCCATTAAGCACGCCGTTCCAAGACAAAGGGAAACGGCCAGGGAATTTAAAGATCGGCTTGGACCGGCACTGGGCGCTCCTTCGCCTGGCCCCCGGCCAGGTACCGACGGAAAACCACTCTGGATTCGTTTACGGTTGATGGTGGATTAATTCGGTGATAGGACTGGAAATGAGTCTGAGGGGGGCACTAGGGACTGCAAGAATATCTAGGACCTTCGTACCAACGGTTCAAGAGCTGACTAGAATCGAAAGACTGATAGAAACAATTCTATACGGTGTTCCATAATTATGTTAATTAACATAAAGGAGGAGATTCCTGAGGTGATTTCAAGTAACTTTTTCCTTTGCGAAAATGCAATCCGCGGCTTCGTTTACGAGTTATTGATGAAAAACGCTGGCCAATAAGATGCGAGCTCGGATGCCGCGAGGCGGCGCAGCCAGCGAGCGCGCGAAACCCAGTTGCGCTGATTGGCTCCATCGAGTCGCGACAGCCGAGCTTGCCTATCATTGGTCAGCGCTTTTAGTTAATAACTCGTAAACGAAGCCGCGGATTGCATTTTCGTAAAGGAAAAAGTTATTTGAAATGACCTCGGGAATCAGCCCTTTCAGGGTGTTAACATAATTATGGGACATCCTGTACATTAATTTGGTGGTGATGGCAGTTAAGTACTACATAGTATATTAAGAACTATAAGGGTACATAGGGCTACCACCAATGATCCTAGTCCCAACTAAAGTCTAAATTCTGATCAAAGTCGTCCTAGATTAATGGTATCAAAATGCAATGCAAGAGATGGAAATAGGGTTCTCTGATGGGGTTACTAGGGATTATAAGGCCACCTAGGGCTAGCACCAATGGTCCTAGTCCCAACTAAAGTCCAAATTCTGATCAAAGTCGTCTTACATTAATGGTATCAAAATGCAATGCAAGAGATGGAAATAGGGTTCTGTGATGGGGTTACTAGGGACTACAAGGCTACCTAGGGCTAGCACCAATGGTCCTAGTCCTAGCTAAAGTCCAAGTTCTGAACAAAGTCGCTCTTGATTAACGATATCTAAATGCAGTACAAGAGATGGTGATAGGGTTCTCTAATGAGGTCATTAGGGGCTATAATGCTACCTAGGGCTAGCAACAATGGTCCTAGCCCTACCCAAAGTGCAAATGCTGATGGAAATCAGAATAAGTGCTGTGCATAATTACATATTTGGACCCTTGCACGTCATTATAAAAATGCGAGCAATATTATTAAAAACAACCCTCCGTTACAAGATCGATCAAACATTTCCATTTAGACGATCATGCAACGCCTATAAACACTAAAAAATATGACACATGTACATTTGTTGAAACTGATGGCAGCTAAAAAGGACATCACGACGAGACTCCCTCGTGTGGCTAGGGCTTCCTAAAGAGGCCCCAAGACCAGGGCCAGTCCCAATCGCTCTAGTCACACTAACCAGCGTCTTCTCGATCCGAAGTAACGTTCGGGACACCCGGTACGCTCGCAGAGCTCCAGATTTCCGTTCCAGAGGCTCGGTCTCGAATCTCGGCGTCCCGATCGCAGCCGTGACGGACCGTCGATAAATAATTCAAGTCCCGGCGATCGATATCGACCAGATTGCCCGTGTACCCCCGCCGAGGTTTCCGTGTTTCATTATCCTCGGCGGTCGCGTGACGCGTGAACCCCTTTCGCTCGCTGCTCCCCGCGCGGCCCCCCTCGCCGGCCGCCGCCGATCGGTCCAGTAATTCCACGGTTCTGTTTATTCGAGATCCGTCGCGGATTAAACCTATTGTTCGGGTCGGATAGAGGCGCGTGGGCGGGCCGTGCGACCGCGTTCCACGGAAAAATGATTTCCGATCGCTGTCGCAGCCTCCGGGACGGTCTGCCGCGCCGGGCTGCCAAGCGGAATTCGGGTCAGGGTTAGAGGATCGATCGGAATCGGAGGCCGAGGGGAGCCTTGAAATGAAATTTTTAGGGAGAACTCGGTCGATCCCGAGACCATGGGAAATGGCCTAACCGGTGCCTAGGCCGGGCCACAGGAGACCAGCCCCGGGTCACCGTGACCCGCATGCCTGGTGGCTCGCGAGGCCGGCAGCAGTCCGAGCAAAGTTAACCCTTTTCTCGAAATCTCTTGCGGCCTGGAAATCGCCTCTCGGGACTCGCCGGGATCCGTGGGCTTGGAACGATTAGGGTTGCGAGCGATCGGGGCTCGTACAACTCAGGGGCGGTTTAATATACGGTTGAACGTTCCAGCGGAACGGGCCCGGTCATTAGAATGCTCGCTGGTTCCCAGCCCCGCTTTTAATTAACGGGACACTTAATTCACCTTTTAATCGGATCGTAACTGCCTGCTACCGGTTCCCTGTAATAACTACCCCCACGTGATTCAGCATATACTTCACCGACGAGCCGAGAAAATTTTTATCGCCGTTACCGTCGTGAACGTTTCCCTGAAGTTGTGCTTCACGGCCGTCCTACCTCGTCCCGCTCCGAATAAAAGAAGCAATATCGCGCGATAAAAAAAATATCACGTTGTTCCTCGGACGACGCTGAATACCTCTGCAAAATTGAGCGCTTCTCGCGCGATCCGTTTTCGCGGGAGAAATTGTCGAGCGGCGGCGTTCAAGCTTCGTGGTCGCGTTGTGAGTTCGAAAATTTTGCAAAAATTGCTGTTGTCATATCCTCGTCCACTACCGGGACAACAAATTTTTTCTCGGGAAACGCGATAGGAGATATTAAAGTGTGAACGTTGCTCTTTACAATGAGCTGATACAGATCGTGATACGATTTTCTTTCACATAGTTACGGCACTTTGAAGATCGAGGGATTTTCGACTAGGATAATTGTAATCCCATCAGTCAGGCTAACAATTCAAAGTTTCATAATATCGTAACAGAAAATCGTAAAACAATGTTTTATAGCTCGTTGGAAAGAGAAGACTTTATTCTTTAAAGCAGCATAACTTCCGTTAGCAAAGAAAATTTGTTGAGTTTTCCACAGGCCCCTAAATTTTGAATGTGTCAGAAAATGGATATTGTTAATAAAATCGCGTTTGCTCAAAGGTCTGCAATGCTATCACAAAACTTCTTAGATGCCTCAAAAGCGTATTTCTTGCTCTTTAGAATGAATTCAGGCTCGATCTTCTGCCAATTTTTATAACGAAGTTGCAAGACTTTGAATAGCGACGAAACTAATATTTTCGAAAACTGGATCCCCACTCCTCGGACACAAAATGTCACGGTATTTCTCGAACATCGCAGAATACCTGCGTGAAATTTAGTATTTTTCCTCTGCTTCATTTTCAAGATAAAAATTGTAAAGCAGCCGCTGGAGGTTTTATAGAATCGTGGTAAATCAGGATCGCGTGATTCGGCTATCACCGACCGCCTCCGCTTAATTGCTGCTCCGAGCTCGACGAATTGTCGCGATTTTACACGAGATCGCCTGTAATGCCCGCCAACCTGTTAATCTCCCGGAAGTGATCAACGACGATATTAATAAGGCTCAGAGGGCAAATTCGTTTTTTTCGCGCTCCCGACATTCACGAGCGAATTACGCTGTTCGAAAAAATTACAGCATCGAAAAATATTGAACGAAAATTGGCCAAAGTTAACTGACGATAACTCTGCGAAAAATCATCGTAGAGTGATGACTATTCTTTCAAATTATAGCTTGAAACCTCAGCTTTAAGACAACGTCGCTTAATTTCAAGTTTGACGCACCATCGCCACTGTAATCCTTCAAATATGAGGCCATGTTCGTCATAGGGATACAATGTAAGGGTTACATTAAAGTGCTGTAACTTCGCGAAAAAAAATCGCAGTCACGATTTTTTCCTCTTAAATTAAAGAGAAAAGATCGAACTTCGTTAAACTGATAACGGCATCGCCGAAAAAAATTTTTGAAAGTCCGTGCATTTCCTCGAACTTGGCAATATTCAATACGGCAAACATGGTCTCACGTTTGAAGGGTTGCAGCGGCAAGGGTGCGTCGAACATAAAATCTAGAAACGGTGTCTTAAAGTTGAGATTTCAAGCTTTAATTTCAAAAAAAATTCGTTATTCTACGATGATTTTTCGCGGAGTTGTCGTAGGTCGAAGTTGGCCAATTTCTATCCAAAATTTTGCTATGCTGTTTTCTTTTCTTTGCTACGCTCAGCCAGTTCGAAAAGCGGCACTGAGATCGCGTGATTAGGCGACGGAGCGGCCGGGAGCTCGTTATCCTTCGGCCTATTTTTTCCCTTATTCTTTGGCGACGCAATCTTCGGATTTCTTCGAATTCCTCCCGCGTCCCATGGTCACAAAGGCGAGCCCTGTTCTTTATTCTTGGCTGTTTTCGGGGGTTCATCAACCGTCAAAGGGAATGCAAAATCAGGCGGTGCTGGATCCGAGACGTTCGAGCGTTTCGGTTAGACGAATCAAGTCGTGGCAGTTAATTAATCCTCTACACGGAGAGGTTTAATTGGTGTACCCTCAGACTCGAGAATTAGGTAATCGCAGAAAAACTAGTTCCTGGAACTGGAAGATTAAATTGATTCTGAAGCCTAATCAATTAAGGAGCTCCAGGATAATTTAATTATTGTGAAGCATTTGTAGTCGGAGTCATTTCAACTCGAAATCCGAAACAGTTTTTCTGACTTACAGTCTTTTCCATTTTGAATAACCTGGTATAATTATATTTCAATTTATAATATTATAATTATAATTATATTTTAATATATAATATTATAATTATAATTATATTTTAATATATATTTTAAATAGCGTGGAATAAATAATGAATTATTTATTCTTTACACTCAACGTACAACCTTCTTTATTTTTAACCTTAGGGTCGCCACTCGACCACGTAGGGTTAATTTTGTAGCTCGAGGGTTAAATAATAACAATTGAAAAAGTTATTTGCATGTCTCAAGTACGATAGATATCTTGGAACACGTTGAGTAACGCAAGTACGAGTGGTATCAACGACCAATTGCGTCGATAGTAGTGCGATCAGGCAAGTATAGCGTGTCTGGTGTGGGAACGCGATGTTTCCCGCTCAGCTGCTACGGGTTCTTCGATAATCCTGAACATCTGTCAGGGAGATTAGCTAATCGAAAAATGTGGATAAATAGTCTTGAGTCTATCAGATTTAAAAATACTGCAAAAAAAACAAGTCTCGATAGATCGAAATAATTAATTCCGAAATATAAACATGAATGAGTTGTAATCAAGTCACCATCAATTTAAAATCTTGTACCGACTACCTGATGATCCTCAATGAAATATAAACTGTCCTTTGAACATATTCAAGGATCTTGGAGAAATAGAATGAATTCTGAAACTTCTGAAAGCAAATTCCTGCATTCTGGAACATCGAGATTAGGATAGTTTAAATGGATCTTGAATTTTTCAGAAACAGAATTGTCTTACGAACCTATGAATCCTGAACATTTTCAGGATCGGAATAGTCTAAAATATAGTTGAATTCTGAAACTATTCAAAATCAGAATAGTTTAAAAAATAGTTGAACCCAGAAACTATCCAGAATCAGAATAATTCGACAAATAGTTGAATGCTAAAATTATTCAGAATCAGACTAGTTAAGAAAGTAGTTGAATCCTGAAAATATTCAGAATCAGAATAGTTTAGAAAGTAGTTGAATTCTGAAACTATTCAAGATCAGAATAATTCGAAATATAGTTGAATCCTGAAACTATTCAGGATCAGAATAATTTGAAAAGTAGTTGAACCCAGAAACTATCCAGAATCAGAATAATTCGACAAATAGTTGAATGCTAAAATTATTCAGAATCAGACTAGTTAAGAAAGTAGTTGAATCCTGAAAATATTCAGAATCAGAATAGTTTAGAAAGTAGTTGAATTCTGAAACTATTCAAGATCAGAATAATTCGAAATATAGTTGAATCCTGATACTATTCAGGATTAGAAAAATTCGACAAATAGTTGAATCCTAAAATTATTCAGAATCAGACTAGTTAAGAAAGTAGTTGAATCCTGAAAATATTCAGAATCAGAATAGTTTAGAAAGTAGTTGAATTCTGAAACTATTCAAGATCAGAATAATTCGAAATATAGTTGAATCCTGAAACTATTCAGGATCAGAATAATTTGAAAAGTAGTTGAACCCAGAAACTATCCAGAATCAGAATAATTCGACAAATAGTTGTATCCTAAAATTATTCAGAATCATAATAGTTGGAAAAATAGTTGAATCCTAAAACTATTTGGAATCAGAATAGTTCGAGAAATAGTTGAATCCTGAAACTATTCGGAATCAGAACAGTTCGAAAAATAGTTGAATCCTGAAACTTTTCAGGATCAGAATAATTCGAAAAATAGTTGAATTCTACAATCTTTCAGGATCAGAGTAGTCTGAAAAATAATTGAATCCTGGAACCTTACAAAATCAAAATAGTCCAAAAAATAGTTGAATCCAGAAACTATTCAAGATCAAAACGATTCGAAAAATAATTGAATCCTAAACCTATTCGAATTAGAATAATTAAAAAAATAACTGAATCCCAAAAACCTTTCAAGATCAGAGTATCTCAAAAAATACTCGAATCCTGAAATCCTTCAGGATCAGAGCAGCCCAAAAACTAATCGAACCCTGAAACCTCTTGGAACCAAAATACTCCGAACAATAAACTAACACCTAAAACGTCATTAAGCAAAGACCAATCAATAAATTTGCCATCCAAGTCAATAACGAAATTGAACAAGTCGAAACAATGTGTTACAGACCCGGCCCCGGAGGCGTGCAACAGCGCGGTGGCGATAGTATCGGCCTCGAGGGAACTGCGGAACTCCCTGGTGATCACGGCCCTGTCGTCGATCCTGGTTCTCTCCAGAGTGATCTAAGCCATCGGAGGGAGACCGGCCCGTATCGATCAACCCTTTCTGACAGCCGACAATCCGTTCGTTCGAACAGCCGCGCACGGGAATCAGGGGTTCGTTGACGGTCCGAGGTCTGGACAAGCGGTCGCCAGCCGTTCAATTATTGCCGAACACCGTCGGAGTGCTTTCGGAGGAAGACGCCCCTACGTTGGACCTCGGCTCTTTCCACACCCGGTCCTCCCGCGCCCTCGCCCCGGCCCCCTGCAATCGACGCAGCGCCCACGAACGCGCTATCGCCCGAAAGCGCCGATCAGCCCTTCCCGCAGCTGCACACCGAATCCGGAAGAGTCGCCGGCCGGCAAATAAGAGCGTGTCGTTCCGGGGACAAATGAAGCGACCGGGAGAGACGGTCTTGTCGGACGGTTGAAAAATCGCGGGTGTTTCGGGGCCGCGAGCACGGAGCCAATTAAATTCTCCTGTGTCTCGGAAGACGGGAGCTCCGGCTCAATGTCCCGCGGGATTTCCATTTCCGGTCCGTGGCGCGATCGACACGGGGCACGGCGGGACAGGTTAACGAGTTCCTCGAAGAAGTGACACCTCGATTCCGGAGAGCTATATCGACGCGACGGGACGGCCGTGAAGCCTCGAAACTCTCCCCTGTTTACGGAGTCCGGGCAAACACGCCGGCGACGAAGAAGGAGATCGATCCGGGCGATCGCATGAGAGATCCGCGCGACGTGACGCGACGGGTCGTGTCGGGGTTACCTGAAGACGATCGATGCTCGACGGGAAAAACCGAGCCTAAACGGACGTCCGTCCTCGCGCAAACAACTCGCCGGACGGCTTCTAACCACCTGTTCGCGGAATCGATGGCTCGCGACAGAAGATTCATTAGCGGAACGCAACAAGTGCGCCGTTCTACATAAGAACCGGGGGGGTGGGGTCGGCGACGGGGGGTCCAGGATCGCTTGGATCGCGTCCAGGAACACCGGCGCCTGATTTTTCGGCCGAGGTTGCCAAGCAACTCGGCTCCGAGGCCCGTGGAACCGCGCGGACCAGGACGGTTCGAAGGGTCGGGAACGGGACAGCCGGCTCGGGTGCCCCCGGAGAACCCTGGGAGATCATCTTCCTCGCTGTCGACAGCTCCGAGATGCCGGGGCTCCATTGAAAATTGAAGACGGCAGCCGTGGGAGCCCTCTGTTTGATCGCGCCGCCGTGAAAATGGGTCGGCAGGGCGGGCGGGCCGGGGCGAGGAGCCTCGCGGAGCCGATTTCCAAGCCGACCAAGAGGATCTGCGAGTGTTGGATCGCCGGACAAAGTATCGGCCGCCTGTTCCTGTGCAAGATCGACTCGGGAAACGGCGACAGAAACGGTAAAACGGTTCGGGGTCTCGAAAATTCAACGGGTTAAGTGCAGACCGGTGTCCCGATGCGTCTCGAGGACATCCGCGAGCCCGGGACATCGCCGGTTGCTGCTCGCCCGGAAAGGAGGAATTGTGGGGGGAGGGAGAGCTCGCACACTGGCGTCGTTTCGACGAACAGCGGCAAAAAGTCCGGACTGAACTCTGCTCGAAGGAGTTCTGTTGCCTTTAGATTCGGGTTTTACGAGCGGCGCGGACGGTTCGCGATGATTGCTGAAATAATGATCGAATTTGTTTCGGACTGTTTTACGCGTTTACACGTAAGCACGCTTCGTAATGATCGGAGAAGTAAATCGGTTGAATTCGTTTCGAATTGAGGATTGCTTTGCAATTTGTTCGACTTCGAACGATGATGCTGAGTTTAAACGATTTGTTCAGTGAAAATCATCTTTTTTTAATATTTAAGATGTCGTAAAGGAATCTTGAAATACTCGTTTTACGTGATACGGTAAGTTCTCCCTAATTGAGGGATTGTATGAGTGAATTCTCCCTAAGTGCACGAAAATGGACAATTTTTGAAGAGGAGATACAATTATCCGAGCCTTGCAACATTTATTTTGTTTTTTCAATTTATATCTTTTTGTTTTCTTTCTCTATTTACAGTAAGTTCTCCCTAATTGTAAAAATCAGCTTGTAAAAATGGACAATTAGGGAGAATTTATTATAAATAGAAAAAAAGAATATAAATGAAACAGAAAAAAAAAATAAATGTCGCAAGAATAATTATTAATTGTATCTCCTTTTCCAAAGTGGTTCATTTTTATGTACGATCTGAGCGTTAAATAGGGAGAATTCACTTCCAAATGTACAGTAAATTCTCCCCAATGGTTCTTCAGCTTGTAAGCAAAAATGGACAATTTGGAAGGAGGAGATGCGATTATCGACAACTATAAAAACGAGGCAAATCGAATAATCAATCGTCCAAATTGTCCAAATTGTCAATTCCAAATTGTCCATTTTTGCTTAGAAGCTGAAGGACAATTGGGGAGAATTTACTGTAGTTATGACATTACTTTACCGGAGATGATTTGTTAGATTCACTCTTAGTTGGCAAGTGGCGTAAGTCCCGTTTTTTAGTATTCTGAAAATTGTAACACCTTGTAAAAAATTCCGAACAGATCGTAAATTTATTGCAAGAACATCAAGTGAAAGAATAGCAATTACAAATTGAAATTGAAATGTTAAATTGTACGGCATTGACGTAAACGGTTGCCACAAATATACAGAAACTTTAAACGCTAAATAAAACCAGT